ATTTTGATCGCGAGCCAAAGTTGTTGTCAATAAACAGGCGCGGTTGCCCCTGCAGAGGTCCCATCAATCACTTGGTTGCGCTTGAAGAGGTCCCACCCCCTGTACTGGTTGCGCTTGCAGACAAATTTGAAAATGACAACTACCCCTTATTGTTCATTACTGCAGAGCTGAGTGCTGAGTGCTTGCAACCGTTGAAACGTCCTTGCTTCATTAGGGCTGAGTATTTCCAGTGCTATGCACCCGTTGACTCTCGTATTTCAGTAGAGATCGCCCAAACTGTTGTACAAAAACCACAACTCCTTGCTTGATTTCCGGCAGACAATGTTGCGATAGTGCTACACCTTCCAAATGTATTGTAATGGTACAGAAACGCCCCCATGACAAACATGTATTCGCATTCAAAGCAGTTTGTGTGCTTGTGCAATTGTCCATGAACTTTGGACACCCAATTTGGGGAGCCTAGAGCACTGTAGTTTTAAAGAAGCACACTAATTGGATATTACTGTATTACTGTACAATTCGATGTATCAAATTCTTTATCCTCTCACACATACCGGTACATCACTTGACAAAGCCATCGGGTCAGTCTCGGAGTGACCGGGAGGTGTTGCTTTCATATTTAAAGGTATTTTCAGTTGTATTTCGAGTTTTAATGATCATTTAAAGAAATTCAGAATGTAACGATCTTCAACGGAGAAATTTATATCTCCATTACAGTATGAATACGACAAATTGATGTAGCGTGTTAATTGAAAATTATCTGTAGATGATCATGAAGATTCGAAGTTCTCTGTAGATGATCGTGAAGATTAAAAGTTCTCTGTAGATAATCGTGAAATTTGTTAAGTAATACTTATTGGTTCAATTCCACGATTATCTACAGAGACTTTTGAATTTTCACGACCATCTACAGAGAACTTTGAATCTTCACGATCGTCTACAGACTTTTGTTATATAGAAGGGGGTGGCGCGTTAATTGAAAATTCCCTGTAGATGATCGTGAAGATAAAAAGTTCTCTGTAGATGATCGTGAAGATTCAAAGTTCTCTGTAGATAATCGTGAAATGTGTTAAGTAATACTTATCGGTTCAATTCCACGATCATCTACAGAGACTTTTGAATTTTCACGACCATCTACAGAGAACTTTGAATCTTCACGATTATCTACAGACTTTTGTTATATAGAAGGTGGTGGCGCGTTAATTGAAAATTCCCTGTAGATGATCGTGAAGATAAAAAGTTCTCTGTAGATGGTCGTGAAGATTCAAAGTTCTCTGTAGATAATCGTGAAATGTGTTAAGTAAAACTTATCGGTTCAATTCCACGATCATCTACAGAGACTTTTGAATTTTCACGACCATCTACAGAGAACTTTGAACCTCCACGATCATCTACAGAGAACTTCTTGTTCTACGCGACTATTGTTAAGTAACATAAGGTAGCGCGTTAAATGAAATAGGCCTAAAAAACCTGTAGATGGTCGTGAAAGTTTAGAAAAAACCTGTAGATAATCGTGAAGATCGAAGATTCTCTGTAGATGGTCGTGGTTTTGTTAAGTATTATTTATTGGTTCACAATCACGATTATCTACAGAGAATTTTCGATTTTCACGACTATCTACAGGTTTTCCTGAGTTTACACGACCATCTACAGATATTTGAGGCCTTTTGCAATTTCTCGCACTGGCGGAAGGACAGTCGCTCGCTTTTCTCCTTCTGCAAGGAGTGCCATTTTTGACAAAAAAAATCAGCTACAGATTTTTTCGGCATGTCCCTGAGAGTCCTTCGCTCGTTCACGTGCGACAGACAGACGTAACGGACGACCCATAGACGATGGCTAGAGAGTGCCTGTCTCCCTGCTTGGCACTTCATTATTATCTACTGTAGTTGCCTGCAGATAATGCTCCGCAAATGGGTTCTTGTCAAAGCTCCAATGTCGCAGCCACTGCGAAATCGTCGTCATTAATACGACCAACTGTAGCTGCCAGTGAGCCTTCAGCTCTGAGTAAGTGAGCTTCGTCGATGCTACCCGTCTCGAAATCAAAAAGTTAATGGCAGTGATACATCACAAGGATCCAAACGAAACATGATGCTAACATCTTCCCACTTCCAAAGATGCTAAAAAGCAGGTGACCGAGGCCCAAAAGCATTCAAATATGGAATCGAAAGCAAGCACAGATGCCGATTTGTCCCGTCATTCAATAGATGACGAATCGATAAAGTCTTTCACCTCAAATCGATCAGCTCAGAAGCTTGGCTACTCATCTGGAGGATCAACGCCAGACGATTCTTCTGTTGGTTCTGCTGCTTCTGCAAAACGGAATCCGAAGACGTTAGGTCACTCTTCTAGTATCATCGGCCTGGACTCAATGATTGAAAACAGGCGTGAAGATGGCGATATTAGAACAAATGTAGTGCATATGGAAGTGCCTTTCGGAAAACCGATCGAAGAAGTTTATGATGGGGTCCATACTGGACCTGTTCTGGGTTCTGGCATCTCTGGAATGGTAAGGCTTGTCACGCATAAGAAAACCGGACACAAGTACGCTGTCAAATGCTTGGACCTCGGTTTAGTCGACACGGAAGAAGGGCTTGCACAGCTTAGGGAAGAAATATTCATCATGTGCCAGTTGGACCATCCAAATATAGTGCGCTTGGAAGAGGTGTACGAAAGTCACACTGAAATATACCTTGTACAGGAACTTTGTGTCGGAGGCGAATTATTTGATCGCCTCGATGAACAACCAGACTATCACTATACAGAGGCTGAGTGTGCTCGACTTGTCAAGCAAATGCTCTGTGCTGTGCGGTATTTGCACTCCAAAGGCATTATCCATCGCGACCTGAAGCTCGAAAACTTTCTTTTTTCCTCGAATGCTAAGGATTCGGAACTAAAGATGATCGATTTTGGATTGAGCAAGCATTTTCGATACGGTGAAATGCAACACGAAGCTGTTGGAACTCCTTATACAGTGGCGCCTGAAGTGATTCGTGGCTCTTATGATGAAAGATGCGACATTTGGGCTATTGGTGTCATTTCTTTCCTCTTGCTGAGTGGAGAACCTCCTTTTGGAGGTTGTGGTGGCCCAGAACCGCTAATGACTGTTCGGTCAAATATTCTTCGTGGAAACTTTGATTTTCAACCTGCGGACGTTTGGGGTCTCGTAAGTCAAAAGGCAAGGCAGTTCATTTCTGCCCTGCTCGTAATCGATCCGAAGGCACGTCCTACCGCCAGAGAAGCACAAAAGCATGCCTGGCTTAGAGAGTGGGCAAGCAGAAATCGCACAGACGACGACAACGTTTTGAATCCAAACGTAGTTAAAGCATTGGTGAATTTTAAGGAATTCTCGGACATGCGGAAGCTGCTGTGCGAAGTTTTGAGTTTTACCCTTTTACCTGATCAGATAAAGGATTTGCGGAAGGAGTTTGAGAAAATGGACACGGACGGATCTGGTGAGATTTCACTGGCGGCATTAAAGCAGGTCTTGGTCACAAATGCAAGCGAAGGATCACTTGGCGCCCTCACAGAAGAGGAGGTAGAAGATGTATTCAATGCAATGAGAGTGAAGAAAACGGAGACACGAATTCATTGGCATGAATTCATTGCGGCGGGACTTTCCCAATGCCAAGTTGATGATCGTAATCTTCGTCTGGCTTTCGATCGACTTGATAGTGATCACAAGGGGGTATGTCAGAAGAGTGTATGCACTACATTATTTCATCGATCCTCATCTTGTTATTTCGTTGGCGACTAGTATGTAACTTTGGACGATATCATGAACTTGGTTGGAAACGATTCGCATGTCTCAGAGGAAAATATGCGAAAAATGTGGGGTGACAGTGTCAGAGCTATCAACTCGTCTGAAGCGCAAATATCTTATGACGAATTCTTGTTGCTCATGAAAGGCCAAACACGAGAAAGTATCGAGGGGGAGGAATCAGGGCCAAAAGAAAGGCTATCAGATCCGATGCGCGAAAGCGGAAACAATGATCCGAATATCATTTTTCCGAAGTCCAATGACGCTAGCCTACATGATGACATTGCCGCAACTCATTCTTCTACGCTTCCGTTTGTAACCCCTCTCTTTCCACAACCAGATGCGATTATGAAGGATAGCTTTGGACCCCTATCCATGGACACTGAGAGCATTCATGAACCATTGGACCCTGTTGACCGTTCGGTCGAAAGGGGAATCATCAAAGTCCCTTCCTCTAACATCAGCAACCCTTCACGACAGAGTACAGTCGTGCACGGTATACAAGAGAACCCTGGAGACCTTCCAACCATTCCACTGCCAAAACCTGGTCACTATGTTCGGAAACGTTCCCGTTCATTCGATGACAATGAAATGAAAAATTCGAAGTACAATAAAGATGTTCAATTGTTGTCGGTGAATGCGCGTCGCGCCGTTGCTCTTCCGGAAGTTAATTCGGATTTCAACGACGAAACTCGTAGTGCGTTACAAGTGAATAGGCAATTGTATCGGGCTCACCGTCAGATGCGCTTGGCAGTGACTGAGGCATCAAAGAGATTTGAAGAGCAGCAAACACGGCATGCGAAAAACGTACTCCTAGCCCAGGAGGCAGAAAAAGAAGCTGGTCCAACAAGAATTGCGGGATTGGTAATGCGTCGAGTTGAAAATAAAACTATTTCATCAGAGGCTGTGAAGAAACTTCTGGAGGAGAACCGCCGAGAGCAACAGTCGTTGATGGAGGTAGCCAGTAAACGTGGTGGTCGAGGCAGACGGACACGGAAGAAAACGATTTCGGATATGAGTGGAATGATGGGATCGCTATCGCAAGATGATCTCAAGAAAATTCTGCCAGAAGCTTCTGCAGCAAATGCTTTGTCGTCGCTCCCAGAGCTTGATTCACAGGAGCAGTTGAACGATCTTGTTCGCGGGGCAACCGTTCCAGGCGAGTTCAAGAAAGTTAGAGACCCTTTCGGTGTTCATGGAAAATATGGCATTGTCGGGGAGCAGAATGCTTTTGTAGAAAATGAGGGTGAAGTATACTGGCTGTGATTGAAAACTAATTAACCGATCAGGCGTCGGGGGATATCCCCATATGGGGATATCATAATTATAACTGCACGCAATAAATGTAGCACAAGTTCGCAACATCAACTTTTCATATTTGTCAAGAGCCTCGTTCAAGCCACAGCCATCCTACACAACCAAACTGAAGTGACAACTTAGATCACAACTATCCAATTTACTGTAGACAACGCCGATCTTGGAATTGGAGCTTTTGATGGACCAATTTTTGACTTTGCAAAAGTGACGTCGGCATATCAAACGAATCAAATTCGAGCATCAAGGGGTCTCTTGTTGGCACCCCTTGCAAATGAGACAATGTGGTTGGTTTCTTAGTTCACTATGGATATTTTCCTGTTCTTAGAGCTCTTACTGCGATATGAAACACTGACGTTCCTCCCCTTTATGCAGCAGAATGGAATGCATTAACCCACCTTTACAGAAGAGTCACAGAGAAAATCATTATTCTGTCCTCCGTACGTGTAGTCTTGTAGTCTGAAAGGATCTGGTACCAGGTAGTCACAAGTTTTCCTTGTCTATTTTGTCCAGCAATGAACCAGCCTAGAAGAAGAGATACGGTAGGAATGGGTCACAACAAAAGTTATCGTTTAGTCGGGGCGATCGCACTCGCGCATAGGGTGTGACACCTCGACCCCAATTTTGCCGGCACGAATCTCCCTCAGATTAATCATCTAGTAATTACTGTCCACTACAAACATGTGCGCCATCCTTCAACGATTCCAACGCCGTACTGGAAGCTAGTATCCGACCTACGCTTCAAAAGTTGCAGTAGGGTTTTCACGTGGACCCGGCAAAATGTGTTACACCTAGACCCAAAATGTGTCATACCTCGAATTTAAGTCAGGAACCACTCCAACAAAAACCATGCCTCCGGTCTGTCAAACTCAACCAAACGAAAGCGTACAAACATCTACTGGTGGTCAATTACTACCAGATGGCTCTGTTCTTGCCCCAGGAAGGAATGGTGTGGTGATAGGAGGTTCCCCAGCAGGATTAAGTCTCCTATCCAACATCTCCTCCATAACTCAGCTGTTGCCAGCAGCCAAATCAGTCTCCATACGAAGCAGTGTCCCAACTGATTTACCAGAAGAGTTGGTAGACTCTGACCATGAAGATGCACTGGACCTAGACGAGCTTGACGACCACAGCATTGAGAACGAGGAAGACTTCCAACACCTCAATTGTGAAGCTGAAGAAGCTGACAGAATTCTATCAGGAACGGGATTCGTGACCCCGACCATGATTATTCACGGTTGAAGTGAAGCCTGTGCTTCGTACGTATTGTACGTGCGCAGACCGTTCTCAGCCAGTGATATTATCGTAGAAAGAACCGACGTGGCAGGTTCCGCAATCGTGCGTAATATTCTGCATGAAACAAGCGAGGATTGTCCAATCCCCACTGCATGCTTTTTACTTGAATTGATAACGATCAACTTGTAGGAACTAGTCAACTATAGGCTTATAGTCTATATTCATTTATTTCTGTCAGAAGCACAATTGGAACGAATGCTACAATTGTGTGTTGTTGGCAAACCCGAAGGCTCCAAAGACGATCACTGCATCAAAAAGAAAGATCTTATTATGAAACTGATGGACCTAGAGCCTGATGTTAAGATCGCTGGTCTTCCTCCCGGCCACCAAGACCCAGCTCCTGAACCAAGAGTTGCCACTGGTGAGATTCCATTTGTTCAAGTCGACAACCCAGGAAAATGGCCCCACGTGATCTACCGAGGCAAGGTAGACAAGTCTAAAAAGTACCAAGGCCACAAGCTACCGGCTGGTGCCAAATGTTGTCCTTCTGTGAATGGACAGAGAGCATGCAATGGATGGGAGTTTCACTATGGTCCTTGGGAGCACAATCATGAAGAAGCAGGATCCAATGCTTTCCGGAGTGGCGCTACAACGCAAAACATGTTTCCGAATAGCCGAAAGGGATCCTTGAATGCCACCACACTCAAGAAGCTTGGCCTCTCCTATCTGTGACCCCAACAGGTCCGGAATCGACAAGGATCCACGCAAAGGCATCCGCCATGACTCTTAGTCGATGGCGACACATCAAAAGGGTAATCAAGTACAACAACAACAACAAGAGCTTCACTTGTGGGCATGCTTGCTACAATCCTCCACACAAGTATGACATGGGATATCGAGTCATTGTTGATAACTGCAACAGCTTGACACTGCATGCGGAGCTTGACCAATGTTGTGACGAGATGACATGGAAGTTCATGGGATATGGGGAGAGTGGCCTAGTCAAACGGATTGTAGGTAAGAAGAAGAACTTTGTGTCGGACTGTCAAGAAGCGCTTGCTAATGTTTGCTAAACATCAATTGTATCTAATACCTATACTTGGTGGTCCTTGCGTCAGGGAAGCCTGGAGTTACCAAAGTGTCAGATAATCAACTCCGTAGCTGTAATGAGAGCGTCAACGCTCTAGCTACCTCTGGAGTATACTGAGCTCGAATCTACGTCGGCTATGGATTGCCTACAATAGGAACAGGTGCCAGTGATGCTGGGCTTCAACCTGCGGATGAACAGTCTCACCACTTCCT